ATTATTACGGCCCCTATAATTTAAGGTAAGGGGTATTGGGCTCTCTGGGTGTAGGGACTCCTGGGGTTTCGGAGCTGGGGTTAAGGCTGCTGAAGCTCCGAAGCCCTGAGAGAGGTCTGAATGCTTAGGGCTTAGGGTTTAGGGTTTAGGGGCTTCAGGGGTTGAGGGGTTTAGGGTTTAGGGTCTAGTGACTAGTGTTTAGGCGGTTTAGGGTTGCTATAACTCACCTCAAGGTTCCCAGCTGCTTGCTTGGGTTCAAGCTTGAGGCCGGGTTCGAGTCCGCATCAGTAGCAATAGCAGCAGCACTGCTGTTTAGGGTTTATGCTTTGGGGTTTAGGCTTTAGGGTTTAGGCTTTAGGCTTTAGGGCTTAGGGTTTAGGCTTTAGGCTTTAGGGTTTAGGGTTTAGCCCAGGAGAGGGGGCGAGATGTCTCTTTTAGATGCGAAGAATGATACTGTGCAATCACTTTCGCAGTCAGGACTGGGAGTGTATATTGTAGCCTACGCAAGAACGGGCTCCACCAATCTATGCCATTGGCGCACCCCAAACCCTAAACCCTAAACCCAGATAGGTCTTAACCGCTAGGCTGTGCAATGGAAGCACCTGGCCCGAGTCGGACCAAAACGCAGTGGCGATGGTCGCATTGAGAGTGGCAGCTTAGGGTTTAGGGTTTAGGGTTCTTAGGGCTTTCTAGTAGCACAAGCAGCAAAGCACTAGCAGTCGATGTAGTTGTAGCAGCGGCAAGAGTGTACTGGTAAGTATGAACCTAAAAGGGTACCAATGGCAGGCACACCTGCATCTCAAAAAAGTATGAATGTGTGTAGTTTCAAACACTGCTGTGTTAAAAGGTGCCGCGGCACATGACAACTTGCACAGAATCTGTAACTATATGTGTGCTTAGCACCAGTGGGATTTCAGCACTCAGCAGGGTCTGCCGTATACAACAAGATCTTGCAAGACTCAAGCCTGTGCAAAAAATTCCTGAGCCATCCCACGAAAGTCAGGGAACCCCAGTATGGACCGTAAACCACCGCCCCCTAAACCCTAAACCCTGAACCCTAGACCCTAAACCCTAAACCCTAAAAAAAACAAGCCCAGGAGCCCGATAGAGAGAGCCAGAGCCTTGAGGCAACTCCATCCTTATTCGAGGAGAAGTAGAGCTTCGCTTGCTTTGCCACCATGAACCTGACTGGCTGTCTTTATGGAGATGATGATTTATGCTTATAGCTGCCAAGATTCTATGACAGAGCACGTACGAACCAGGATAGTTAATAGTCATGGTGACAACAACAGCAGTAATTCTCACTGATCTCATACTGTTACGATGGGTCACCATGATGCTTCGGTTTGTAGAAGAGGGAAGCTTCGGGCTGAGGGTTTGTTCAGGATGCCTGCTTGGATAACTTGGGAAGCAATAGTGGAGAAAAAAAAGGATGCTGTTGGGGCCCGGTGAACTTGTGAGGCCCATCAGGCCTTCGAATGCACACAGGCCCAAGGGTCTTCTCGGAGACCGATGGCCGACCAGACTTCGCTGCATAGGCCGTGACGCTGGTGTGGACGGATTCCCAATCAGTCGGCCGGACGAGCTTTCTCAAGCTCGGCATGCCATCCGCAGAGGACCGACCACCCTTGCAACGACGGTAGTTCATGTGCAACTGCTTGATGTCCTTCTGGGGAGATGAAGCATCAAGCAGCATCACGATGTCCGAAAGCTGCGGCAAGCTGCTCAGCGGCAAGGCCGGGATATCGCTGTCAAACATTGATAAGCGGCGGTGGCGGGGTCCCCGTGACGCCTCGCCAGGGACGCTGGCTGACCTGGCCCGTGCTCAGAAGGTGGCATGAAAACAAGAAGCATAAACAGGCGCGAGTGCAGGAGAGAAAGAGAGAAAGAGGGAGAACGACAGTGACGGAGGGAGAGGGAAAGAGAGAGAGAGAGAGAGACAAGAGAGAAATAAAGACGACAGAACAAAAACAAATGTATGTTCACAAGCATGAAGTCCGGCTAGCTATATATATATGTATGTATATATATATATACATACTGCTAATACTCGACATATTGGCGCGTGCATGTGTGTTGATGTATGTGTGTATGTATATGTATATATATATATACAATGTATACAATACTGCGTGTACATCAGTACATCATTATACATAACATGTACGCAAATACATATGTACATTTATTTTTTTTTATTTATTTATCTATCTATTTATATGTTTATTTGTTTATTTATCTACTTATGCGTTTGTTTATTTATAGATATACATATACATACACACTCAACAAACATAAAACATAAATAAACACAATAAGCATAATAAAGGAAACAAGTGTTACATAGTGTATATACTTATATGTTCATAAATCTCTCTTTCAACACATCATGATGAAGAAGTGAATGACTAGGTAGTGTAAGAGACTGCAAACCATATCGACAACGTTGACATGGTTGCGCATAAAAAAGTCAGTGGAAGCTCAATAAACATGTGTCTGTGTGCGTGTGTGTGTGTCAAAACACGATAACGGCAGCTAATTAAACATGGCCACGATTTGAAATCGGCTTGGAAAGGCTAAGAATAAAATAAAGCTATTCAACCGATATGGTATGTTCAAACTTTATGGCGGAAAACTGATACTTCTGAGAGATCTGTTGCAGTTGTTACTCATGTGTGGGGCTTAGTACTTCCGGTTACCCCCTGTGGGCACGTGTAAGCACAAGAACAGGATCAATGATCTTGTTCTGAAACGGCTACCGGGTACCTGATCACTCAAAAAACTTTTTCAAAACCTGTGGAGAGAACTTACATAAGCCAGTACTCGTAGAGTCCTGAAAAGGACTGTATACATGCTTTCGTACAGGGCTTGAGGTTTCGGGCCTCGGTATGAGCACTTCCGGCCGGAGCGCACACTAGCAGCAAAGATGAAGGACGAGACCTAAAAAGCAAAAAGAATAGCCAGAGAATTCCGGAACTGTTTCGTGTGCCGTGTTTTTTTCTTGGTTTTGTGGCTTGTTGGGACATCCGAAAATCCATTTTTCTCGTGGAGATGCCAGAACCTATGTTCGATTCTCGGATTCTGGGAGTTTCGGATTTTTGGAATCTGGGATTACAAGATGTTTGAAATTCACCAAGGTTGAAAGGAGAGCAACAGAAACAACCCCACTCACTTGCCAGTCAGAAAGCTGTCACAACCTTGATAGTCTCAATGCAAACAACGAGGACTAGGGCCAGGGACAGCAAGACAAGCAAAAGTGTGGTGATCAACATTTGCTGAGGTGGTGATGTCGACAGTCGCCGTTCAAGAACAGCAGGTTCCGGGCCCCGCCTTTGGACAGAAGGAGTCGACACTGTCGGAAGCAGACGCTGTGGAGTATCCCGGATGGCTTCCGGGATTGGCTGGGGTGCATCTTCCTTCCTTGGCTGCCCGACGGTTGTCGGCAAAGCTCTGAAACTCCATGCATGCCTGAAAGCCTCGAAGCCCAGAACCTGAACCTAAACTACTGAGATATCGTTCCTTGTGAATCTTGTAGTGAACGCCCAGGCTGCTGGTAGAATCGAGACTTTTGAGCCAACACTCGTTCGACTGAGCATATCACCCGCTGTTCTCCTTTCTTGCATGCTACCTACAGGAAGCGTTCTGAAGCGCACCCAGGCTTCAAGGCCAGCAAGTGGTAGACCTCTTCCTGAGCGGCAGGATCTTTTAGGGCAAGACGGGCACCCCGCCTGACTGTCTCAGTATAGCTACGGGTGCTGGGTACTTCACCTGTTGAATAACCCGAACTTGTCAAAGACTTGCTCTAAACCAGGCCCAACTGCCGATCCGTACAGGCATGGCAGGGCAACATGGTACACATCGACACCGACCCTGGTGGCTGCTGCGCTGCACAAAGACACTCGCAGACAAGCAGGCATGTCTTCTGACGACCCGGAAGGCCTGGCAGGGAAGGTCTTGAATTTCGGGTAGGATAAGGATGAAGATTTGTGTGATCTTGTACAAGTACCATCTTTAATTGCGAACAGCTTATGTCATAACCTACCTGCTGTCGTTGTGATACTGCCCCTGGTCCAGTTTGCAATTAATTACAAGGGCCAAAACGACATGACTATGCTGTGACTGAGACTTGTAGTTGGGCCTAGCTGTTGGGCTACTGCCTGCTACGATAACGATGGCTCTGCTCCTGCTCCTTGCTCATGCTCCTGCTCCTACTCCTACTCCTACTCCGACTACTACTACCGCTACTGCTACCGCTACTGCTACTGCTACTGCCACTGCTACTGCTGCTGCTGCTGCTGCTGCTGCTGCTGCTACTGCTACTGCTACTGCTACGGCTACCGCTACCGCTACCGCTACCGCTACCGCTACTGCTGCTG